TGGGTTCTGACCCCGGCCAGGTCAAACCAAAGACTTTAAAATTGGTATTTGCTGATTTTTCGTTAATCGCGTGGCATTAAGGGGTAAGAGCAAAGACTAGTTGGGTCGGAGTCGGAATATATAGTTTCGAGGTAGGTTGATATGTCTTCCTGTTGACTGTAACCTTGTGAGCTAGCACATTAAAAATAATGACACAAACAACTAATGCAGTAACACAATTCCAGTAGTCAGCACTTCTGTGTTAACATGAATTATCATTGTATGGTCAAATTTTTAAATTAACTGATTAAAAAAAACTTTGAATTGTTTGAAAAACTACGGATTTGCTATTCAGGAATAGACAAGCGTAGTTAAATTTGGCAAAACGTTTAGGAACTTTTAGCATTTTATGGTCTTTTGTTTATTGGACCGCCACTGATGAATCTATGACAAACGAGACGATTTTAATTTTTAAATTATCAATTTCCCCCACCTTAGTAGCAATATACCAACTTCACCTGCATATGGGATATACATTTCCCAACTTATTCGGTATTCAAGAGCTTGCAGCTCCTACTCAGACTTTGTAAAACAACACCAGTGTCTGAGCAGAAAGTTGATGAACCAGGGGTATGTCAAAGAACGTCTCGTCCTTTTTCTAAAAAAGTTCATCGGAAGGTACCAAGACCTTGTTGGTAAATATTCCGTATCAACTTCACAAATAATACACGATGGTCTTGAAGTATAGATTCTGCATACTGACGTTATTTATCATCTTAATATCGTGTTATAGAAATTCTTTTATTTGTCTTTATTTATATTACATTTACTGTTAAGTCTGGTTTTTTTTGTGATATCCATGATGATAACACAATGTTGACTGCTGTACCCCTATTTTTGACATTTTTACCTATTGTGTCTGTTTGTTTTGTTCACGCATCGTTGTCAATATTATGGAATTCGATGCGACTGTCATACAAGTGAGAGGTTTAGCTAGCTATAAACCCAGGTTCAATCCACCATTTTCTACATAAGAAAACGCCTGTACCAAGTTATGAATATGACAGTTTTTTTTCCAATCGTTTGATGTGTTTGAGCTTTTGATTTTTCCATTTGATTAGGGACTTTCCTTTTTGAATTTTCCTCGGAGTTCAGTGTTTTTGTGATTTTACTTTTTTTGTATACGAAACACGCGTCTTGCGTACAAAATTTCAAACATAATATCTTTGACTATGATGCGTTTTTTTCTTTTGATATTCAATATTAATTTTTTTTTCCTTGACCTGTGAATATCTGATTAAAATATTAAACGAATCTGGTATTTATTTAAATATTTTATAGTCATTATAGTACTGTAATTCAAGGAGATATGCATGATTCAATGTTGTTTTCTGATCGTCCAGTGGCAAATACTTCATGCATATTAATGACGAAAACATTAAGTCAAATCGGAACTGTTTGAGTATGAACCAGTTATAAATAACTTTGGTTTCATTTACATTCCAAACATTTCTCTGAAGTTTGTCACAGTTAATTCTGATTTTGTGTCAACTGGACGGTCTGCGAAAATCTCACTTTAAATTCACACAATAATAAATACAGGAATATCCTGTACTCCTTTTTTGTAGATGTAAAATTTACGTCATAAAGAAACTACTATAGCACAAAGAAAATTCTGTCGTCGGATCCAGTGAATACCGGAAATCATCTCCGGTTCGAAATTTGTTTAAATATTTGGATGATTCAATGAAAACTACTGCGATATTTTTTCAGCTTTTTTTAATTTTTAACTTTGAGCCACTAAGATATTTTAACAGCATCAACATTTATATTCGTGGGCCGTAGGTACGCTCATAGTTTAAAATGAAGAAAAAGTTTTGGAAACTGCCATGTTTCTGCCCTTTTTGCGAATCTTGATGTGTTTACAGCAACAAAGCATGACTAATATCAGCGGAAGTTGACAAAACTATTCATGCTAACAAAAATGTAGGTTTTAAACTTTAAAAATATAGTATTATAATTTATGGCATGCCACTTTTAATTTGAACAAAATTTGGAGGCCGTTCTCTGATGCCTATCGTACCTTGTCCTTTAACAAAGACTAATAGTGGGTAATCAATGGTGGTATTACACCTTATGGTTTACAAGTTACAAATGCATATCACTTAATATATCAAACGCATAAGGGGAAATTATTCTCATGTGGAGTCTCCGGATAGCTTCGGTCTAATGATTTTCCTAATCCTGAAGAGATAACAAGCAATTTGGTAGAATAAATTTTTCGTAATCTTTTACGGTTGCAAAGAAGTAGTGGACACAAGAAAAACAGTGTTTGGGGAGATAACTCTTGCAAGAAAAAGTATTCGCTTGGACAGGGTCAGTTTCAAAAGCGTATAAACCTTTCGATATAATTTACCAAATATCTCAGATACATCTTGTTAAATTACAATACTGTGCAAGAAAAAAAAAATTAGGCGGAAGAAAAAAAAAAATAAGTAAAAACCAATTGTTCTGGGAATAATTGAAGGTCTTTCCAACCGAAACGATATATTTTGATATATAAATATTAAAATCCGGTTTTAAATGTCATTTGCTGTGTCAAATGATAGCTTATTGTACGCTGATTCCAAAAATATATGGTTTTTATACATTTTTGTATGAAATAAGGGAGAAAATTTGTTACTTACGGTTTTAAAAATGTCACTTCCGGTATTATTTAAAAGTTATTTAGAAACTGATTCTAAAAAATTATGGTTCTGTATATTTGTACATTAAAAAAGTTCGATACATCTGCTGGTGGACTATCAGTCCCCATGGGTATCATCAGCTCAGTAGTCAATACTTATGTACTATCATGATTTATAACAAACCTTTCTAGTCTTTTTAGTCTGTCAGTAACTGCGAGTATTCACAGATCTGTACATAGTGTCCTTCTGTTTTGTTGATGTATAAGTACCCTTTCACGTCCACTCAGTGCTTTTGTTAGATGTATTTTTATTTGTATCCATCTGATGATTGAAGCCTTTTCAACTGATTTTAATAGTTTGTTCTTATGTTGTACTGTTACACCACTGTCCCAGGATAGGAGGAGGGTTGGCGCCTTCAAACGAGTTTAACCCCGCCACATTCTTTATGTGCCTGTCCAAAGTCAGAAGCCTGTAATTCAGATGTTGTCGTTTGTTTCTGAGTAATATATTTGATTTGAGCTCAATATTTTGTACATAAATTGGTTTTCTCGTTTGAATTGTTTTACATTTGTCATTTCGAGGCCTTTTATAGCTGACTATGCTTTATGGGCTTTGCTTATTGTTGAAGGCCGAACGATGATCTATAGTTGTTAATTTTTGTGTCATTTGGTCTCTTGTGGAGAGTTGTCTCATTGGCAATCATACCACATCTTCTTATTTTTCTACTTTCTAAAATCGTCTGTTTAAATATTTTGAAATTATAAAGAAACTAAGGTTTCAACTCCCTCAGGCAAAGTTGACCTTAGATGGATTTTTTATTTTCTAAGGTATTTTTTTTTGTCGTATAGCTCTACAACTGTTTCGGTTCGCATACATTCTCGGCATTCAAATATTCGGCTTTGAGCGTTCCTGATGAAGGTAAATCCAGAAAAGCGCTAAGGACGCATGAATTTTTTTAACGTGTTGTTTTCATTTTTTACACTTCTATCCCAGGCTAGGGGTGGGAAAGACGTCATCAAAAAGTTTAGCCCCGCCACGTTATGTATGTGCCTGTTCCAAGTCAGGAGCTTGTGATTTAGTGTCGTTTGATGAATTATACCATATTTGTGTTTTTCGTTCATTGTTTTGTACATAAATCAAGCCGCTAGTTTTCTCGTTTGAAATGTTTTACATGTGTCATTTTGGGGCCTTTGATTGTTGACTATGTGGTATTGGTTTTGCTCATTGCTGAAGCTGACCTATATTTGTTAACTTCTACGTCAATTTGTCTCTGGTTGAGAGTTGTCACATTAGCAATCATACCACATCTTCCTTTTCTATATATAACATTATTCTCCGTCTTTTGATATGAGAATCATGACCTTTTTTTACCTTGAGTTTGAGATCAATGTTAACATTGGATTTGAAGGTATAAATTTTGACCTTTGTTATGACGGTAAATTGGTAACTGTTGAGCCGTAAACATGTAACCATAAAAAGGTCAATCCTTCATATGAACCAAAAGTGTCATTTTGTAAAGCTATCATTTCGAATCAGTGTATTGAAAGCTATCATATGACGGCGGAAGTTTTATTTTGTGCACCGCTTGTAACCAGTTTGAGGCACCATATTATTAGTATAATCTTCCAGTCTATCATTTATTTTAAAACGTGACCAAGTAATCAATAAGAGTTGAAGTAAAACTTCTTCACATCGTCGAAAATTTTACGTTGGATTTTTAATAGTTTGCTGTATTAGTTGAAAATATTAAAAAAATGCTTATTGTTTTAACCATATGAATGTTGATAATAAGCTATCTGCAAATGGTTTAAAAAAACATGAAATATTAATTCGCTATTGTGAAAAGTGTTGGCTTGTCGTGTCTGGCATGACAGCGAATTTCCCAATTTCAGCAAGGTTAACCTTAGACAATAAGAAGACTTAAAAGATATTAACAAGAAGAGACAAACATGTAACTTCAAGAAAAAAATCAGATGTTACATTTTTTTCTGTAAATTAATACATGTTTATACCTGCCATATTCTGTATTTGTCTGTCCCAGATCAGGAGCCTGCAATTAAGTGGTTGTGAAGGTTACTTCATGCAATATTGTTTTTTCAATGTTTTAAGCATACATCAGGCTGTTGATATATATTTATGAAATGTTTCACATTTTTTAAAACGGCGCCTTCAATAACTCACTAAAAAGTATATGTTTTGCCTATTGTAGAAGTCAGTACAGTTCCTTATAATGGTTTACACAATCGTCATTCGGTTTCCCCCGGAATGTTGTCTCAGTCACACCACACCATATTACATAATATTGAGCAAGATAAAAGAATGAGTAACAAAACAAAAAGCCAATAATAACACTTCTACTTTTATTCCTAAATAAAGGCTACAAACATTACAAATATTTATAATTACAGACCGATACAAAATATGCAAAAAAATGGTGTTAGAATGTCATAGTCTCTCATACAGTTTTCAATTTGAGATCCATTGTTATAGAGTGGATATAATTGTAATCCTAAAATGGATGTTATCCAAATGCAAGCTTGGATTACATTACACGGAATAATACCAATACATCTACATAAATATAATCATAGATGACAAAGCTGAAATGGTTAGATGTTGATATTATAGTTTTGATATAATTATATCAAATCAAGCGTTGTCATCTCCAAAGAATAATTGTTGTGATTAAAAAACAAAATACACAGGGGTGTTCAAGTTTGTATGTCGAAAAGAAACTAACAACGACATTGCAAAATACATATGAAAGACGAAAAACGACAAACAATACATTTAAAACTAAAGACTAAGCAACATGAACCAAAATAAACACTAAGGGTGTATCAGGTGCTCTGGGAGGTCAAGCAGATCCTAACTAGTAAACGGATATTACTTCACGATTATAATATATGTATAGTCTTTTTCTTCTTTTATAAGTCTTTTAATACATTAAGTGTTTTCCCTGGACATATTCCACCTGGAAAAAGTAATAATGATATTATATCTAATTAGCTATTTGAACCAATATTATTTTATATATGTGCTGCGTCGGACAGAAATCGACCTTATGTAAGTGCACGTATGCATGTACATGTACAAAAATTTTGTTGATTTTGGAACAATCAAATACGAAATAAAATAGGAATTTTTTCTGTTTTTGAAGGGTTTTTACAACAACTAAATTTTCATGCAAACAGTTACAGACTTTCCGTAGAGATTTTTCAACCCGAAAAAGGTTAACAGATGTATTGATACTCATTTGCATAATGTCGTTTTCTATCCGACACAGCTCATATGTTATAGATCTTACTTTTTCTTTACAAGCATATCTGATATATTTTTGACTAAATATTATGCGAATCGGTGAGTTAGCCATTGCCTTCAATTGCCAAGCATCTTAAAAAAATAAGACTTTGACAGCAAATTGTAAATTTTCCAAATGATAACAATATACTCCTTTTGTTTTAAAATATCGAAACGTTATTAGACGTATTAGACGTTTGTAAGCACGCCCCAAGGGTCAAATGTATATCTTCAGAGGAAGATGATTAAAAACTGCAATACATAATAAGACTTGACGATTAACGTTTAAAAAGTTTTATTTCATCTGGCATTTTGACTGAGTGTTGTTTTGCATAGTGGCATGGGAAGCGACACGTGTCATGTCGACGCACACGGTCTTGCTCCTTTTTGAGTTCTTTGTGATCATGTGTTTGTCTCTTGTTTGTATTTTGGGAATTTGATATCGGGAAACTACTGTTGCATCTACTATTTTTATTTTACCTGGTCTTTGGTCGTGTACCCCTAAATGAAGAATGGAATTTTATACGTGTTAAAGACTTCCAATAAAATTGGAACTTACTTTTTAAAGACATCACATAAAAAATGTTGTTAGCATAATAACTTTCCTTGATTTCAATACGTTTACGATTGCTGTCTGATTTTCGACAAACTGTTTCTGAAAGATTAGTATATCAAATATAACAGCGATGTATTTCATTATAAGTTAGACACGCCTTATATTGTATGATGTTTGCACTTACGGTTTTTAGTTCCTCTTCTAAAGCACACATGTATTGATCTAGTTTATGAATGGCATGCAACAATGAATTACTTTCTATTCCAGCCCAACTCTTGATAAAAGACAAAAGTGGGGTTTCAGCCAAACCAATTATGGTGTTAATATTAACTGTAAATAATTCTTCCGCAAAAGGAGAGCTCTCTATGCTTCGAAAAGCTGTTACTCTTTGACGTAAACGACTCGTTACTTCTTTATCCCTATAAACACCTGACTGTATTATATTAAGAACACGTTTCTCAATGACTGACTCAATAAGAAAGGAAAAACCAGCAGCGCAACCTGTAAGTAGAGCAGCTCCCGCAAGGGAAGCTCCTCCGGTGAAGGGTGCAGACAAGACACCTAAAAACAATGAAGCACCAGTTGTTACATTTCTAAATGCTCTTGTCAGCCTTATTTGGTCATTTGCCTTATATAATTCTGTTTTCAGGTCATCAAGTCTTGGAAGGGTTTTCTTGCGTATCTTTTTCCAACATTTAACGTCCTCGTTCAGTTCTTCGTCTGTAATTAAACAAGTTTACCCTATAAAGCAGTTAAAAGTGGTTGCCACATTTGTCAAATTAGCAAAGATTCAACTGGTTTTTAAAAAATCAGTCTGTCAGATAGCAGTATTTATACATAAATTGTGTCCTGGCATCAAATGCAAAACTGTAGAATTTGTGTTTTAAATCGTTGATATTTATGTGTGATGGAAGGCCTTACAAAAACAGATTTGGTACAAGAATATCAAATTTTAATGACGTCATAGTGACATAAGAAATGACATTTCTGAATGATGGGGTCAATTTTTTATCATACTTATTAGGATTGTAGAAGCTAATATCATCACGAGTTGGTCGAGCATTATGGAATATCTATACCTTAGGTGACCACAGATTTCTCCTAATTGCCGTAATCACAATGGTGTCTTCTTTAAGAAATAAGAATTTTACCACGGGTTTGCTCTTTATACCGATATTTTACCCATTGCTATCACTCGTCGTAAAATATTTAGCATAAAGGGCCAACCCGTGGTAAAATCAGTATAAATTCAAGCCCCCATGAATTATTTCTATTCTAATTTTCCCTGTAACTAATAAAAGCTCCCATCGAAGGCCCTTTGTTTGAATATTGCGTGCTTAACGCTAATTCCATTCATTGAGCAAGAATGATCATTTATATTTATATAATGAAATTTCTGTTGTATTTTTTTATCATTTTTGTATAATTATGTCTAAAGTTTAAGGTCAGTATAAAAGTCAATTCTTACCTCTTTGTCTTCTTCGTTCATTTGTTCCTGAAAAATAATTAATAGTTAACATGCAATAATTGTAGTAAATCATTAAGCCTTTTATGGTTATACCAAGATAATACGCAAATGAACACGTCAGATTGAAAAAAGAACCATTACACAAACTAAGATTCAAAGACAGAAATAGCGCACGAACAAAGTATATACAATGACTAGAGGATGTTTTACTGCCATTGTTCCCAACTTTGTAGGCAAAACTATTCACAAGTTGTACAAAGTGTTAGTCTTTTCGTCAAAAAGCAGCCTGACCATTTCTTAAAGCAAGTAGACAGTTTATAAAAATCAAATTAAACTGTGCAGCTGAATTTTCTAATCAGATATCAGCTACTGATAAAGAACAATCATTCCACATACTAGTAACTGGTTATATCTAACTTTTTCGACTGATGTTTATGTTTTGTATTAATGTTGTAATGTTACACCACTGTCTGAGTGTTGGGTGCCCGCAAACATGTTTTAACCCAGTCATATACTATATGTACCTTTTACAACAATTTTCATTTCACATTTTCTATTCAAAACTAAGATTGAGCATTGTTTGCGACTCCAACGTGCTAAGATGACTCATAGTTTAAGACCCTTTATGGTTTTATGCTTTCACCAGTTTAACATTTTTGACTTTCACAAACGTACCTGATAATGGTTATGTTAGGAACATATGTTGTTCTTGCACTTAAAGTCATAATATTGGGTAATTTTCTACCGCTATTGTCGCAGTGGCTAATTTTAGTTTTTTTTTAAGAATATCGCATTATAATGCGATTCAAATCATTAAAGGCACACATTTTAAATAAGAAACGAATCACAAGGAAGTTATTTTCTTAATGCAGATATGAATCATAACTTTGTTTAGGTTTCTGTTTATTTTAGAAAGTTAATAGTAGTTAGACCTTGTTATACACTGTGAATTATATCATCAAAATGCTATAGACTTTCTGATCGAGAACATATTTGTTGATTTTTGGTGAATTTATATTTCAACCTTGGATGAACACGACTACTGTCGAAAGCAATCTATAAATAATCAATTGCCTGGCGAATTTTTTAGTAGTCAATTAAAAATCGTATTGTTTGCATTTAAAAGATTCAATTAGGGTTTGAAGCAATCACATGAACCTTCTAAATAATACAAGACATTATAGTATCAACAGGCAATGCTGTAATGACAGATATAAATATAGTATACCGAATTCAAATATATAATATCCAAAGAGCGATTTGAAAAAAAAGTCTTTTTCAAACTATATAACTTAACAACATTTCACAAGACATTGCCATTGCATTGTTGATATATAAGAGGTTTCAAAAAATGGATAACATCATGCATTATGTACTTTAAACCCCCTTTCATTTTGATTTTAATCAAATTACTTATAATTTAAAAATATGTTACATTGCTTTTTTTTGTCAAATACAAAGTTACAACAGTGGCTATAAAAAGGCGAAAATATATGAAATGTAAAATATCTTAAAGTTTATAATAGTATTTGTATTCAAATTTCCTGTAAGCAATCTAAACTGTGTCATTCTTTTTGAATCAACAGACGTTATATTCCAGTTCGATCTCTACATCTAATTTCACTAGAACACAAAAAAAAAGTAGTTGTTAAAAGCTACCTATGAATTTGCATACAGGAATTTAATCCCGATCCAATATGTTAAAGGGGAGATTATCGAATTTTCGTAATTCAATTAAGCAATGTGTGGTATGATACACCTGTAAGCAAATCTCATTTTCAACAAATACCAAATATTTTCTGCTCGTTGGTTGGGTTGTTGTCTCTTTGACAAATTCCCAATTTCTATTCTCAATTTTAAATATTGATGAGATTTGACACAATTGATGAACACTACCTGGAGATGTGCAGAATGAAAAAATGAATTGCAATACCTGGTAAAAACCTGTAGGAACAATTTCCTCTTAACTGGTAAACTGATTTTAAAGAATCTTTTCACAGTTCTAGAACACTTCTTGATGATTTCACAAATGCAGAAAATGCCACATGTTAATGAGAATATAATCGAACTTACTTACTTACTTTAACACTCCAATGTGTGGTAAAAGTAATTTCTCGTTAAAAGTTAGGCGGTTATTGATAAATCTTTACACTTCAGAATGTTCATAAAGGAAAGCATATTATCCATAATGTAAACGACAATAAAGGGAAGGTAATCTCTCCTAGAAGATTGTTAAATTTGTTTTGCTCCGTTTAAATTTTCGTAAATTTGTATAGACGTATTCATGTATACTTTAAATATGGTAATAGTTTTGCAGAGCGGGAAATAATTATGGGAGTTCAATCAAAGTTCTAGTTATGTTTGTCCTAACTCTGACATTGAATTATTGTTGTCTTCTGTTGCGTCCGGAATAAGCAGAAACGAGACAAAACACAAAGACTGTTTACATAGAAACCACGAGTAAAGAAATTTTGAACTGATACTTCTAGTCGTATAAACTGATTTTTTAAATTTTTTTCTCTAAGTATTAGTATTTTTTTCTGCAGAATGTTTGATGAATTGGCTCCAGGTTCAAACTCTTAACTTTGCAATAACAAGCCACATCTCAGCATAATTGGTACGTAGTGACAGCACATATCAATACAATAACAGTGGGAAAATGTAAGTATGTCTTCAAACGTCGTAAACAAACAAAAATAGACAATGGAAAACTTCAGTCCTTGTAAAAAATGAATAATATTGCTAAGCAATAGAGACCATGTGCTAAGCCTGCAAAAATTGTCACATTATTAAATCGCTTTGATCGACTTACGGAAACATATAAGAACAAAATGGACCATGAAAATATATATTTTGTTCGCATGAATTGCAAAGAGATTAGACTTTCAACCATTTCTTTAAGATTTAGTATGCAGATGTGTGAGGACATTTATCATAAATGGCGACAATATCTGAACAAATACGCACATCACGAGAACAGAAATATGTGACAAGAAAAAGAGATGCCTTAACAAATGCTAGCTGAATTCAACAGCGAATTCAGAAAGGAAAAGGTTACAGAATGTAATTTAACATGCACGCCCCCTGTTCAATGTAAAAATGTTTTGTAAATTTAATTGAACATTCAAATTGTTGCTGCATTTATGGTGTATTATCGCGAAATTACCTATGTTTTCCCCGGATGGATGTGAACTTCCACCTTTTTATTCGATGTATGTAAGTCTGTTGATGCCTGCATGATATCGCCAACAAAGTGACCTATATTATCTTTAAGTAATTTTCGTCTTTTTTTCATTGAAGTATCAAAAGTCACTTGCATTTTCAACCAGCTGTCATCGTACTCATTTATCTCAATGTCCTCTATGAAAAAATAGACGATGTTGTGATTAAATGACAAAACATGACTGACTGGCAACAGTCTTGTTTTTTATGACACAGCTTATTTTTCTATCAAAGTCATAATGGTATCCGTAAAAATGATGTTGTTATGACCTCAACATTACAATGCAGAACTTCTGGTTAAGCATTTTACTTGTAAGCAGTTTCTTTCTTTCAAAAAAATTATAAAAGGAAGCTCAGTCTCTTATATATAATTTAAACTAGGATACATGGACTTGGATTTGGTACAAAGCAATAGAATATATTTGATTTTATTATTTGTCGTAAAGTTAGAACGAGGATATATAATTTGAATTGAGTAGATGGGCAATATTTATTTATACCTTCCTCTTTATGATCAGACATGGCAAAAATACACTCTACGGACATGATTTGCTGCTTAAAAACCAACTGCCTCTCTGCTGGTTCTGTACGTTCTCGCACACAAGTCTCATCGAAAGTTGAAAATATTCTTTCAACAAACGACTTCATTTCGTCAACCATAGTGGATTTCACACACAAAACCGAATGATATGCCACAACATGTAGAATAAGAGACCCATGTTCTGCATTTTGGAAAAGTATCTTAAATTGATTTCGGTTAATTTTGTCTTTCATTTCGTTTAGTCGTTGTTTTACTGCCTCATTGTTCAAACCTTTCGCCTTCACGTAAACTGTAAGGTTTGTTTCTCCTAAAACCAGTTTAGAAAAACATATTGTCATTTAAGCACAGTAGTATTAACAATAAAGAAAAAAATTTAAAAAAAATACACAAAGAGTATGTCCTGCAATTCTCGAAATAAAATTTATTACTAGTACATTTTTTGTCTACCAAATATTTTTGAATAAGAGGCAACATGTGCAGAAGTTTACTGATTTTCAAATTTGCTGTATATATGAGTGGAAACAATAGCTAATCTGTCCAAAGCAGGCACTGATTATAAAATAAATGGGTTTGTTACTGTTACTCTCATGCCTTATCTTTCTTCAAATACCGAAATTTTGCTAAAACCATGTTCAATCATAATCGATCAAGTATGTTGTTGTACCTAGACGAAAAGTCTGAAACAGTGTTAATGTTGTTTTTTATCTTTAAAACATTTTGGTAGATGGTGTTCCATTCGCTAGGAAAGCTAACATGTATCATAAAATTCATAGATCAATTATATGGTCATTTATATACTAATGAAAGATTTGGACTAGTAACTTTTATCACTACTTAAATTGATCTTTTGTTATTCTGAAATGTTAATGACTTAAGTTTGTTTTTCTCGGAGGAACTTTAATAACAAAGCCTATTCCAAATGGCTTTCAAATATTTGGTGTTGAGCGTTCAAACTATTTTTAGGCCAGGAAAAGTGCCTCTGACACACCAATTTTCTATAGTACTAATATATATGTTTTTAAACTGTTTCATTTCTTATGGTCGATGTTAAGTGATCCCTTTGAGACTGCCTTTATGAATATGAATATGAAATTAAAGATAAAAGATAAGAAAAAATATCATAATAAAGTAGTACTGAGCTGCTTTTATATTGAGAAAAATACTTTATTAGAATTAAACTTCATAGCTGGCTAGCTCTTTTTAGATAAAAATGAAGTTAAACAATTACTTGTGCATATGTGTATATTTCTTCCGGAGAACCTGAGATTACACCCGGTTTAAGACGAGGTTCGAGCTGCTCAGTCTTTTGCTTTCTATATTGTGTTTTTGTGTACTGTTGTCATTTTTGCCATTGCATTGTCACTGGTGAGCGTCACTGATAAGTCTTTTGTAGACGAAATGCGCGTGTGGCGTACACAATGTTAATCTTGATATCCATGGTGTGTTTTGTCAGTTTGTTTTTGATTTTTAGTTTGAATATAATGTTAGTATCTGTCTCTTTTTTCGTAGTTTTCTATTAACATTAACAATAAAGTAATATTAATAAAGCATCCCATATAAACGGATACATTTCATATCGAATGCAGGTATTCCATAGTTACTTTAATTAAACATAGAATCATTCACAAATTGTGATAAAAGTATAGATGAAGGGTTTATCTTTTTCCAATATATACGAACATTTTACTAATACCTTGTTTTAAAAGTTTCATAGATATGAATATCTAAAAATCAAATTTAAACAGTAAGAACTGCTAAATATTGATTGAAATATCAAATATCTAAGATGTTCCAATTGAATATTACCTTCAGCTGTTCCTATACCCGGTGGTATCAGATTTAGGTCACTTTTCATGAATACTGCTATTTCATAGCCTGGTACGCGAACAATTCCCAGTTCTGAAACAAATTTAGAAACGATACCTTTCACCCAAGAATAGATCTATATCAATTCTGCTAATATGAGAAGCAACAGCAACAAACTAATTCATACACCATCATGTAAATGCAAGTTACTGAGCACACATTGTTTTATCATGTCAACAGCATTATGAACTTAACAAATACTAAGATGAAATACATTTTCCCGAAATAGAGCTTGAGGTATCTGACGAAACCACAAATTAATGACGGCCTTATTAGAGATCCTTTTTATGAACTGATTGTGGAACATGTTTCAAATTATGGTTATCTCACGTTTACAAAAAAAAAAATAAATAAAAAAGTGTCTACTATATTTTATCACACATTTATATGTTTATTGTTGACGAACGAGTCCATTTACTTACAAGAATCTAGTTAAAAGTCGAAATAGGATCCAGCTTTTTACGGTTATATTCTGTATGAGCTGACAATTTTAGTAATTGTCTTTCAAATCTTTGGGTTGAAATATTTTATGACATCAGTAATTTTTATAACGTCTTCTACTGCGTCTTGTATTTGTTTTTAAAATTTATCATGTCGTTATTTTTTCTAAATCAAATTGTAAACCAAATACATTGTATAAATTTAGTTGACCCAAACTAAAATCTTATAAATGAACTGGGTGATTAATTATCTTTACTGTAACACACGAATAGAACAAGAAAAAATAAGTTTACAACTACAAACGATAAGACATTTGAGAAACTCCGATGAGAATAACAAATATAACATCAAAACTAAATACATGGATTTTGAATAGAAAATAACTTATCAACGTATTTTTTTCGTTTAGCACGACGGGTGTCACATGCGAGTAGAATAAGAGACCCATGTTCTGCATTTTGGAAAAGTATCTTAAATTGATTTCGGTTAATTTTGTCTTTCATTTCGTTTAGTCGTTGTTTTACTGCCTCATTGTTCAAACCTTTCGCCTTCACGTAAACTGTAAGGTTTGTTTCTCCTAAAACCAGTTTAGAAAAACATATTGTCATTTAAGCACAGTAGTATTAACAATAAAGAAAAAAATTTAAAAAAAATACACAAAGAGTATGTCCTGCAATTCTCGAAATAAAATTTATTACTACTACATTTTTTGTCTACCAAATATTTTTGAATAAGAGGCAATATGTGCAGAAGTTTACTGATTTTCAAATTTGCTGTATATATGAGTGGAAACAATAGCTAATCTGTCCAAAGCAGGCACTGATTATAAAATAAATGGGTTTGTTACTGTTACTCTCATGCCTTATCTTTCTTCAAATACCGAAATTTTGCTAAAACCACGTTAAATCATAATCAATCAAGTATGCTGTTGTACCTAGACGAAAAGTCTGAAACAGTGTTAATGTTGTTTTTTATCTTTAAAACATTTTGGTAGATGGTGTTCCATTCGCTAGGAAAGCTAACATGTATCATAAAATTCATAGATCAATTATATGGTCATTTATATACTAATGAAAGATTTGGACTAGTAACTTTTATCACTACTTAAATTGATCTTTTGTTATTCTGAAATGTTAATGACTTAAGTTTGTTTTTCTCGGAGGAACTTGAATAACAAAGCCTATCCAAATGGCTTTCAAATATTTGGTGTTGAGCGTTCAAAATAATTATAGGCCAGGAAAAGTGCCTCTGACATACCAATTTTCTATAGTACTAATATATATGTTTTTAAACTGTTTCATTTCTTATGGTCGATGTTAAGTGATCCCTTTGAGACTGCCTTTATGAATATGAATATGAAATTAAAGATAAAAGATAAGAAAAAATATCATAATAAAGTAGTACTGAGCTGCTTTTATATTGAGAAAAATACTTTATTAGAAATAAACTTCATAGCTGGCTAGCTCTTTTTAGATAAAAATGAAGTTAAACAATTACTTGTGCATATGTGTATATTTCTTCCGGAGAACCTGAGATTACACCCGGTTTAAGACGAGGTTCGAGCTGCTCAGTCTTTTGCTTTCTATATTGTGTTTTTGTGTACTGTTGTCATTTTTGCCATTGCATTGTCACTGGTGAGCGTCACTGATAAGTCTTTTGTAGACGAAATGCGCGTGTGGCGTACATAATGTTAATCTTGGTATCCATGGTGTGTTTTGTCAGTTTGTTTTTGATTTTTAGTTTGAATATAATGTTAGTATCTGTCTCTTTTTTCGTAGTTTTCTATTAACATTAACAATAAAGTAATATTAATAAAACAACCCATATAAACGGATACATTTCATATCGAATGCAGGTATTCCATAGTTACTTTAATCAAACATAGAATCATTCACAAATTGTGATAAAAGTATAGATGAAGGGTTTATCTTTTTTCAATATATACGAACATTTTACTAATACCTTGTTTTAAAAGTTTCATTAATATGAATATCTAAAAATCAAATTTAAACAGTAAGAACTGCTAGATATTGATTGAAATATCAAATATCTAAGATGTTCCAATTGAATATTACCTTCAGCTGTTCCTATACCCGGTGGTATCAGATTTAGGTCACTTTTCATGAATACTGCTATTTCATAGCCTGGTACGCGAACAATTCCCAGTTCTGAAACAAATTTAGAAACGATACGTTTCATCCAAGAATAGATCTATATCAATTCTGCTAATATGAGAAGCAACAGCAACAAACTAATTCATACACCATCATGTAAATGCAAGTTACTGAGCACACATTGTTTTATCATGTCAACAGCATTATGAACTTAACAAATACTAAGATGAAATACATTTTCCCAAAATAAAGCTTGAGGTATCTGACGAAACCACAAATTAATGACGGCCTTATTAGAGATCCTTTTTATGAACTGATTGTTGAACATGTTTCAAATTATGGTTATCTCACGTTTACAAAAAAAATAATAAACAAAAAAAGTGTCTACTATATTTTATCACACATTTATATGTTTATTGTTGAAGAACGAGTCCATTTACTTACAAGAATCTAGTTAAAAGTCGAAATAGGATCCAGCTTTTTACGGTTATATTCTGTATGAGCTGACAATTTCAGTAATTGTCTTTCAAATCTTTGGATTGAAATATTTTATGACATCAATTATTTTTATAACGTCTTCTACTGCGTCTTGTATTTGTTTTTAAAATTTATCATCGACAGTTCTAGTACTGTAGACAATAACATCGACCCTTCTTGATTTATTTTTAATTATGAGATTTTGTAATCTATTATATACTTATTTTCATTTAAATACTTTTCCTGTCTTGGTTTGATTAGTATTTCAATCATGAACGTATGTATATCAAGGAAATATTTTAAAGAAAATACATTGGTTTTGGTTAGGACAAAACATCAATACGACATTAATCATGGCTCCAGTAATTTGGCGTTATTTACATCTCACGAATCGATTAAGAAGAGACAAATTCAAGGTAACAATCATAAACTAAGGAAAAGGCATGATATGCATGCATCATCCGCCAAATTTACTTTCAGTCAAAAATCACAATCGGACATAGTACACAACCGGCAAAATTCTGGATTAGACGACTTAATTTGTACCTAAAGATATAAGACCGCAAAAACAGTTCGCTAGTGATTTCGGAAAACGACACATCTTTTCAGCAACCCAAATCGTGTTGGTGACTGTAAAACTGATGTTGTGTCGATTTCAGTTTTTTTCCCTAATATCTCTGTTCAAAGAGTTGTTATGCAAAGAGCACATCCCGGTTAATGAAATCCGCATTAACTGAGATATGTAAACGTCATACAATAGAGCCAAAGGTATGTTACTGGTGAACAATGAGAGGTTGACAACTGAAAAGTTGACATTTTCACGTTTTTCATTTATTATAGTTCGAACTAATGCCTCTTGTGGCCTCATTTTGTTTTCCTTGCTCAGATTCAATAGTATGGAGGCACAAATGCCTTTTTCTGATTTAAGTGTGGGTATGGATTCAAAGAAATGATTCACGAAGAAAAACCTTCAACAAATATCGCATTAAGAAGAATTGACTCAGGTTGAACAATATATCGCTTTTTTTTAAATTGTTAATTTTGACCCTAATTTCCAACGAAAAAGCAACCATTCAGCATCGAACAATGTGATAAGTACTTATTTAATGAATATACATATCTGAATATAGAATTTAAACATACAATATATTTTTTGGTATAAAAAACTATTGTTCATTGAAATCTATATTGTTTATAGTATATTACATAAAAAATCAATATTTACGAATTTTACATATGTCTCTAGCGCATTTCGGAAACTTTTTGGTCGTCAGCGAAACTGACGATTATAAATTAGTGAGTTCTGAACATATAAAACCGACTAAAGCAACAACAAAAAACAGAACATTTGAGTCTCCATATTGTTTAAACAAATCAATGCAAATCAGAATTGGCGATATTGCAGGTAAGATGAGGTCAACATGTATTGATAGACTATTTCACGTTAGATACTTTTTTTCAGAACTTAAAACGACGCGGGATTTGTAAATCACCATAAATGACAAGCTCAACCTGTAGTCAAAACACGAACTGAATATAATTTAGTTACACAACGCCATTCGCGATATCTTTTTCCTCGAAGTTCAATAATGTCACACTCGGTCAAATTTGAGTGTAAGAAAATGTATATGACCGATTGTTTTAGACTTTGGTGATGTATTGGGGTTAGATAAAAACTGATTACCAATCCGCTATTGAGTGATGTCTTATATAAAGGCAACAGTAGTATACCGCTATTCGAAATTCATAAATCGATTGGGAAAAAACAAATCCGGGTTACAAACTACAATTGAGTGAAACACATCAAATATAAGAGGAGAACAACAACACAACAGAAACACAACACTAAAATGCAAAACACACAGAAACAAACTATAATATAACAATGGCCATTTTCCTGGATTGGTACAGGACATTTTATGAAAAAAATGGTGGGTTGAACCTGGTTTTGTGGCTAGCCATACCTCGCACTTTTATGACAATGTTAAATATAACACTAGAATGACACCATTACATGACATGAATACAGTATAACATTACGGACAGAGAATTACGCAAATAAACAATACAATAAAGTACATTTGGACAACGAAACAACAGAAACATTGAAGTGAACAAACAACAAACGACAATGCAACACACACAGAAACAAACTATACGATAACAATTGTCATTTTTCTGACTTGGTACAGGACATTTTTAAGAAAAAAATGGTGGGTTGAACCTGGTTTTGTGGCTAGCCAAACTTCCCGCTTTTATGGCAATGTTAAATATAACATTAAAATGACAAGATTACATGACAGGACTACAATACAAATAAATGGGAGAACATACAGGACAGAGACACACACAAATAATAGCTATCAAAAGGTACCAGGCTTATAATTTAATACGCCAGACGCGCGATTCATCTACATAAGACCCATCAGTGACGCTCAGATAAAAAAAGTTCGAAAGTACAAAGTTGAAGAGTATTGAGGACAAAAAGTTCCAAAAAGTTGTGCCAAAAAGAAAATCCTTAGTATTTAGAATAATTCATACTTTTGCAAACGGTAAATTTATTAAAATGACTATATAATAGATATACATGATAACACCGAAGTGGTGACTAACTACAGAATAAAAACGAATACGCTAAACAACCTAAATCAGCACATAAAAAGGCACAGCCGAACAACGTATTATATGTAAGCCGAAGAGATCGACGCTCAATGTGACGTCACATATAAATTTCTATTAATGTTCAAAAAATAGGATAGAGTTCAAGATTAGGTTTGTAATACTGATATAACATGTATTAATAACAATGAAAATTACAATACTTATTAATATACAATTGTGGTAGTAATTAGATAATTAATTGTACCATCAAGCTATGTCGGTATTTTTTCTAAATCAAACTGTAAACCAAATACATTGTATAAATTTAGTTGACCCAAACTAAAATCTTATAAATGAACTGGGTGAATAATTATCTTTACTGTAACACACGAATAGAACAAGAAAAAATAAGATTTACAACTACAAACGATAAGACATTTGAGAAACTCCGATGAGAATAACAAATATAACATCAAAACTAAATACATGGATTTTGAAAAGAAAATAACTTATCAACGTATTTTTTTCGTTTAGCACGACGGGTGTCACATGCGAAGCAGGATCTGCTAACCATACCGGATCACCTGAAATCACTGCAGTTTGTGATGGGGTTTGTGTTGCTTAGTCTATAGTTTTCTATGTGTTGTGTTTTGGATACTGTTGTTTGTCTTTGATCCTTTTACGATTTTAGAGACAGAGAGAGAGAGAGTGTGTGCGTGTGTGTGTGTGTTAGAGAGAGAGAGAGTGTGTGTGTGTGTGTGTGTGTGTGTGTGTGTGTGTTAGAGAGAGAGAGAGAGAGAGAGAGAGTGAGTGAGAAGGGGGGCACTATAAAGATATGTCAAAAAGAGTGTTAAATGCACAATCGGAATTTCCCGTATTATAATTAAATCTGTAATCATCAGTTTATAAGTTTTAAATACATAATACAAGTTGTAATCTGATTTCTTAAGTCCACCTTGTTGCATTAATACTTGTATATTACCTTCTAGTTCTAATATTTTTTCAAGGGCTAATATATACTTTTCCCTTATACTGCTCTCGGGATCCCATAATTGCAATTCTGAAACTTCATCTTCAAATTTATTTGTTGTTTTGCTTAACTCTCTGTCAACAAATCGGGCAAGATTAAGCACTTCATAAAATACTCTATCTTCTTTACGTTTTCCATATTTTGCATTAGACCTATGAATGATGCTGTTCCTTATTCTACGCAGTTTTTCAATAACGTCTCCAGCATTAAAGATATTGGATACTTCCTTTCCCCATCCTTTAGTTGGAATCCTTACCAGTTTGAAATGACGTATAAGCTTATACAAAAGAGACAAATCACATGTTTGAAATGTTTGCTCTGCCGACAGATTTGACATGACTTCTTTTTGTTCATCTGATAACATCAAACTTTTATCAATTTCTGTTCTATTAATATCATACAATCGATTCAATTGTTTTGGAGAGATGGCGCTTAAGGCAAACTCCTGTAGAATTTTGGGAAATGTATCAAGCATAAGATATGAAATCCTGGCGGCGCAGGCTCTTTCTTCTTTTTCTAACACATCCGGTCTTCTCATCTTAAATATATAGAAAAACACAATGTTCCGTAACTTATTGGGGAAACAGCATCAGTATAATTATTATTTCCTTGGTGCTAATATTCACTTGCACATTTTTGGTGATGATTGTACCGGAAGTTCGTATTTCAGTTATTCCGAAATTTGTATTCATAAAAAAATATAGAATATAATAAGATGCGACAAATTTAACAAAGAGAGTCAAAGACTTCAAATTACAATCAAATGATGAATACTTGAACAAAATGATTTATATAAAACTTATAATTAAAAGGGTTGACTGTCAAGTGTAAAGAAGAGGAAGAAGAATGATTCAGCTAAGTTGATGTAAAAATTGGAGATTGTTTGCACTAGCTTTACTTCAATAAAACGTTAATAATACGTGGTGTAGGAATAAGCCCTTGCCTTCATTTCATTTTTTTTTTGTTGCGAAATCTATCTACGAAAACGCCTTTTAAGTGCAAGTAAATCCCTTACTTAACACAGAAAGGTTTTATACATTTGTGTATATATTACATAATTTCAAGTAAATTTTGAATTCGTTAAAACGCTAAATTTAGCAAAAAATTACTTAAGATAAGCATAAATTACATCTTCATTGAATACAGACAATACCTTTATAAAACAGACTATTATTATGTTGAAGCACCATTGTTACTTTAAAACATAATCACTGATTCGCTTCATTGATTTAAATAGCCAAGCAGAAAGACCTAGTGATCCGGTTAACCCTAAAATTTGAAGGGAGGTCACGACAAACTGTCAATGCATATAAAGAACTTAGTAAAGCATACGAATATATTCAAAACATCAAAACACATATCATTTTATAATTGTCAAAATGCGAATTTGTTGCAGTAAAAATGGTACCGATATTATTGATTTGTTATTGGAAATATTCTAAGAACGAAAAATAGAGTACCACAATGCATTCAGTAAAATTCATAAACCTGAATAAGGCAGTTATTTGTAGTTTCATTCGTGAGGACATACACATGTTGAATATGGAGTGTTTTCGCTTGTCATGAAATTTGATATAATTAAGTTAGTAAAATAGCTCGTAATTATACTGTTAAAATTTAAATATCTGGCAGACCACACTTTAAATTTTAATTTAATCTTGGCTTAACTGCATTTGTCTTTTGAAAAATGGACCTGTTGTTATGTTATGTCCCATTGATCTTTAAGAGAAATAATAATGTTTTTAATATTCAATTTAATGATTTCTTATAGATATAATTGTGTTTTGGGTCTTATCTGATTAATTTTGTTCAGTTTGGATGACAAATGTATACTGACTTCATTGTTATTCTACCTTTGAATGTATTACAAAAAGCTTGGCGAATACGTTTAAATGATTTACACAACCACTATTAATGGTATGAATATTATGTTAGAAAACGTACTTAGTTATAAATTAAAACAGACACCAACTTGAAGTGCATTTATGTCTTTTGTATTTTTGTTATATTCCCCTTTTGAGTATGGATTGTAGGTAAAGGTAACATAAAAAGAGGCAAAAAAGATAAAGGGGACATACAAAAAAAATCATAAGAGAATAGAAACTGACGATGCCATTGAAAAATATAGACGAGGCAGTGACAAAAAGTTCACAAATCACTAACACAGAAAGCTAAAGACTGAGCAACACGAACCCAACAGAAAACATTGGTCAATTTAGGGTGCAGGGTAGGATTAAGATGAAATTGGTTAGTCTTTTTCGGTTCATTTTGTTCACATATCACCTCACGTACGTTCTCATGGATTTATATATCCCTTAACATGTCATAACAATTTGCTCCTACATTATTCCTTTAAAAATAATTGAAAGACGAATTAAAGATGTCAGTTTATAAAACGGGGATGGAAGTAATATTATATATAAATTGACTGAATAATAGCCAACGATAAATCTTACGGGGCGATGGATCATATAAATATGATACAGTACACTACAAAATAAAATATATAACCAGTCTAAAAGGGTACAACATCACCAAAAAATGACAATAAACGAACAAATGTAACTATAAATATTTCGGATAACAGATATCCTTCATCAATATGAGCACGATGTAAAATGAATCAGATAAATCTATTCTGATTATTAAACTATAGCAATCTTGAATTCTATACAATAAAAAAAGTGAAACAGTTTCACCCGAACATCATATGTAGAGACGCTAATAAATTTTTAAAATTTCCAAAAAACGACTCAAAGACATGCCTAAAATGAAAATAGTAATTATAGATATGAACTGGCACAACTTTAAAATTCCAAAATGACGTCAGTTAAGATGTTACAACAACTGCGTGTAAATACATTCCCAAAAGAACAGCACTGATCATCTTAACTGACGTCATTTTGGAATTATAAAGTTGTGCCAGTTCATATCTATAATTACTATTTTCATTTTAGGCATGTCTTTGAGTCGTTTTTTGGAAATTTTAAAAATTTATTAGCGTCTCTACATATGATGTTCGGGTGAAACTGTTTCACTTTTTTCATTGCATAGAATTCAAGATTGCTATAGTTTAATAATCAGAATAGATTTATCTGATTCATTTTACATCGTGCTCATATTGATGAAGGATATCTGTTATCCGAAATATTTATAGTTACATTTGTTCGTTTATTGTCATTTTTTGGTGATGTTGTACCCTTTTAGACTGGTTATATATATATATATATATATCATACAGACGAATTCAGCCAAACCCGTTTTGACATCACAGTATTTGTTTGCATAGAATTTTAAGCTGTACTTATTTGTCTTTTGGAATTGGTTAACGAGTTCTAATACAACACAAATACACAGATTTATGACTGAATACAAATAAAAGGAAGAAATTTAAGAGTAGCCATTTCTATACTGCCTTGAGATTTCAAATATTTTAAGATTTTGTCGTTAATAATAAGTGTTGTTCCAAGGCTATACTCATAAAATATTCGTTTGCAAGCTGCATTTTGCAAAGTTAGTAATGTTAATACAATAATTTCTGAAGCAAGCATTTGGATCATATTTTTCTTTTATTAAAAAATTTCAATGTTGGTCAAAGATGTCATTTTCAAAGTGTATATGACATCAAAGTGACATCCGAAGTGACTTTTCTGCATTTGAATCAAAAGATTATAATAAAGAGAGGCAGAAGATACCAAAAGCCTTTTTTATGTTTCATCAATCTTAATATATGGCTGTATCTTCCATAAATTTGATTAGCCAAAAAAAAAAAATTAAAAGCTATATGACAAATATTCAATAGTTGGTTATAAAATTTATTGCATATCTAAGTGATAAACTATGATAAAGTAATAATTATTAACCTGTTTATTTTTCATAACAACATGTTAATAATATGGTAATAACATAATGTCATAATAACACTACTTGCTTAAAGACGTGTAACGAAAGACAAACAATCACTATTTGAATAGTGTTATACAAGCTGCTATACTCTGACAAACTAAAATGAATTATTTATAACGCAAAGTTTAATTCTGCAATGAAATTGATCTGTGTACAATAAAGAAAACTTGTGCTTTTATTTTTTGAAAATAACATTTGTAAATTATAAATTTTATTTTAATGTTATATTGCTTGAAACAGTTAAAAATGTCTATACCTTGGGTTGAAAGTTAAATTTACTATTCTGATGTAGAGGCCCGACCAAACTGTTGTTACCATAATGTTATGCCTCAATAACCTATTTTAGAATGGTGTTACAATATAGTTCAATAGTTTAAACTTGTTCAATGTTTATATAAAAACAGATATCATATTTCATTATTTTAAATATTCAATGACTTTTAAACCCAACAATTTAGAATTTTTCGTATAACTTTAATTCTTTTTTTTTTTGCAAATCAAAGCTTATATAAATACAAACTGTTTTTAGACTCAATGCATATCAGGTTTCTTCAACCATCTTGGCTTGTAAAATACCGGACTAAAATTAAAAACATTCTCTCGATTTCAATCTAGACCCCTGTTTTATCTTAATGGGAAACAACTTTTACAGAAAAATGTGGTATTTTCTTTTCTTTTTTTTTTACTCTCTGTATTTAGTACCACCGCTTTTTAACAGCATATGTGAACAAATCTAAAAAAAAATGCTGTTCTACAATATGCTGAAAATTAATGAGAATCTTAACATATATCTAACGTGTATTGTACTTATATCTGTTGTAAGAGATGTATAAATACCCTGCTACGTCCGGTCTGTGTTTTTATTAGATGTTTATCTGCTTTGTATCGATCTGATGAGTTAAGCCCTTTTCAACTGATGTTTATAGTTTGTTCTTATGTTGTCTGTTACACCACTGTCCTAAGTTAAAGGTAGGGTTGAGCGCTCACAAACATGTTTAACCCCGCCACATTCTGTATGTGCCTGTCCAAAGTCAGGAGCTTGTAGTTCAGTGGTTGTCGTTTGTTCATGTCTGTCATATTTGTCCTTCGTAAATTGTTTTGTTATTAATCAAGCCGTTAGTTTACTCAATTGAACTGTTTCATTTTTTTGATATTGGTGCCTTTTATAGCCTACTATACGGTATGAGTTTTCTCGGTAGCCTATAATTGCTTACATCCACTTCATTTGAACTTTGGTGGATAGCTGTTTTATTGGCCATCGTACCACATCTCCTTCTTTTTATATTAAAATAAAACGCAAGTTCACCTAGTCAAGACATGACAATTACTATTAAACACTGTACATTGTAAAGATAATTATAATGAAATTAAATACGTTATTTAGTTTTCAATTGATAATTTATTAAGTATTTCCCTTTCCACCGTCACTTGATTTGTCACTTCTTTTCGGCATTGATTTTCTGTTTTTTTGTAATTATCATTTATTGATGCCATATTCTGTTGATCTGAATTGGCTGGTTTTGTCAGTACCATTGCTCTATCAAGTGTTTCAATTTGAATTATAGGTAACGGAAAAGGTACAGCCATTGCAAAAAAATGCCGGAACAAAAAATGATATAATTTTTAATGTTTATTAAACAACGGTCATGAGGCGACCAAATCATAATCTTGGCCAGGTGTTTTCAACATATTTTGGATGCATTGGAAACCTTTTTTTAAATGTTTAGGCCTTCCTGCTTCAATCAGAATAATATTTAAGTATACATGGAAAAAAGTACAGCTGATGCCAAGACTAACTTGTTCAAGTCAGGGTGAAAAAAAATGTTATCCGACTTTGCCAGAAGCTAAATAAATAAACTGTGCACAACAATTTTACCAACAATTATCCTAACCATAACAATGATTTAAGTATGTATCAGAGAATACTTATCCCGTTCTTCGTTATTCATGTTTATTTTGTGACATTACTGTCCCCACTACGGGGGCGTGGTCCCACCGCAACCTTGTTTCATAAGTACACGTTATCTATTCATCTCTAGAAAATAATCATTCGCTAAAAATTAAAAAAACACAACAAATATATTTCAAAACATTAATTAATAAGTGTTAACTGCTAGTGATATTTTGAAGCAGAATTGCCGGAATCGACCTCAACCGAAGTTTTATCAATTTATAGATCAACGTTGCAAATTTCCGGCGCCGAAAATGTCAACGTAAAATGTCATTAAAATTTAAAAGTTGGATTCTTTTCTTCTTTTTAGCATTTTTTTATATTTAGATGACAGGGAAGTCTTCGATATTTTGAATCCATATTAACGTTTTACCAACATAGGTCAAGCTTGGTAAAATCACAGCCCTATAGGCCTACATGGGATTGATTCGTTTGATGTGATAAAGGTAGATCTCTGATATCGTACACGTTTCTTGGATCATTTTTTATTTCGTGAATTGTTACTGGCCGATGTGTTTTAATGAACATCTACTCTGAATAAGTCAAAGAACATCTTTCGTTTTTTCCTAATTTTGTTTGTTTTTTGTTTTTTTTTTTTTGGGGGGGGGGGGGGCTCTTTTAAAATCTGATTTTAGGCAAAGGCGTGTATCATTTTTATGGGCTCATGCTTCTTAATTTCTTGTTTGTTGTGTTTATTTAATAAATCCACCTGATCCATTGTTCATTGTTGAAGGCTGTCAGTGACCTATAGTTGTTAACCTCTACGTCATTAGGTATCTGGTGTAGCGTTGTCTCATAGGCAATCATACCACATCTTCTTATTTTTATATAAGAACTGTAATCAAGTCTAAACCAACTGAAAGGGAACTATAATACTTTTAATAAGTAACTACTTCGAAAACACAATTACGTATAAAAAAATCATTAAATATTTCATAGTATAGCTAGCTGTATGAGATATTTTTTGTCTGTTGTACACCTATATTTTCCTTTTTGTGGCAGGGGCTATGTTGTATGGTTGTCTGTATCATAGCTTATGATATGATATAGTTATGCAGGTGGCATAGACCCCTCCCTCCACAATTGATTGGGATCAAATAATTAAACTGGTTCACACACTCTCAACAACATGTCAAAAGTGAAGGAAATCAATCCAACCATTTGCTGCATACTAGATTCAGTATGATATGCAATAAATACTCAATTCTGTATGAAATAAGTACCATAACTCTAAAATTACGATAGTAAGTTTATTTGATCAAATCTAGCCTTGTGATACAATTTCTCGAAAAATTAGCAAAGCAAATTTGAGTTTTTGTACATTTGAGTAGGTGTCTAATTTTCCATGAATAAAGTCCAATAATTCTGGAATGACAAAACTTGAATTCCTCAAAAGCAAAAGGGGGCTTTGTTTCGTCAATCCTAATCCTGTGTTAAAATTTCAGGATAATGGATTAAGCTTTTAGAGTTATTGTATGAAGTGTTGACCTTGTGTATCATAAAAATTGTGCAGGATCGACCAAACTCTCAAACATTCACGGAACAAAATTACACTTATGCAAAATAAAAGTGAAACACTTGAGGCCAGAGGGAAGATAAGCAATAACACTGTTATATAATTGCTTATGTTTTATTTTGGTTTTTTTACCACCGAATATGTGATTGCAAAATTTACTGTTTTTGAAAATTTCATAACACAAATAAAGTCAATATGTGAATTTATTACAAAATACATTTCACTTATCCATATCTCCATTTGAATGTTGGTTGGTCTCTAATGTCTAAACTTCCTCTTTTCACAACAATTGTGACGGTAGTAGGAGCCCATAGTCTGCAACAGTTTCATTTATTAAATGCTGCATTAGTTCAGCAAAAATTTCTGCTACATGTAATAATCACTCGAACAACCTGGGTTATCTGGTGGGTTTACCACTCAAGAAACAATTCATCACATGAGTATATCTCGCTTAACACATTTCATATAAATTGCTAATTCCAGGTATTAAAATGTTATCCTCAAGTAAAATTATTCCTCTGACAGGATCTGTGGTATCTATGATGAGTTTATTGTTTACTGAAAATAAGAAAATATTTGGTTATGTAACTAAGTTTGTTAATTCAATCAAAAGTTATGAAGAATGACAATTATGATATTGTATTTCATTGTTATGTCCATCTATGACCCCAATATGGTCTGCTCAAGTAAGTTATCTTATCTAAAAAAAAAATGGTCAAATTGAATAAATTTTCAATAATTTTGGTAAAGGTGGTTAGTAAAATATTTTAAAATAAAAGCTTTCAAAAACCTCATGTTAAAACTCCATCAGGATATGATGCACATCATGTAAAAGTTACTTCCCTTATATTGTTTTCAATCATATATTTAATTTTAATTACGGTGTACCCTTCATTCTTTTCAATTAAGTATTACATCTGACGACAACAATATTGACATTTACAGAAAATATATATTAGAATAAAAGTATACCATTGCGCCTTAAAGTCTGTAAAGGATTACTTGCCCTATCCTATAAATTTATTTTAAGTGCCAGCCCCTACTTATTACATTAGGAATTTCATGTCTGACCGTTAAATGCAGAATATTTGCAGTCTGTTTCCCTAATTAGACAGTTTAAATACAATGTACATGTATATTATATTTGTTTCATACTTTGGGGGATTGAAACCATAGTACATTGTAAGTAGCCCACTTTTGTAACCCTAAACAGACACTTTTTGGTTACTTACCCCTGATTCTTTGTAGTCATATTGTTTTTAACTAAAAAAATAATTTTGCTTCCAACATTGTACAAATGTACACCACTCCATTAAAACGTGTTGTTGCAATATGTTTTATATGTAAAAGTCCCCTGTTTTAATCCATTAGTGAACATCTTTCTCCATCCTGTAAATACAAAGTATATGTAGTGTGCATACTATTACTATATGTTTTAATTAAATTCTTCACAGGAAAATTAAATTTTATCATTATCATCATCAACACAATAATACAAATTTTCCAAAAATTTACCAACAAAATACATATAATATAATATATTATATAAATAATTTTGCCCCAATCGGCCCCTAACATTTTTGCTAAATATAAGTGACAGGCAAAAAAAAAATTCTTGAAAAAATAGTTATCATGTTTAACATTGAACAAATTTTTGTTATAACAAACCTTTTGATTACATTTTATATTCAATATTGTACATAAACATCATTAACATGTCCACCGTACGATGCATGATGAAATTTTATACATTTTGGTGTCAATCACGACCCATTTTTTTTTATTCCTGGAACCACCACTGTCATGACCAAATTGTTACTAAATCACATCTTGGATTTGATAATATTAA